GGGGGCGGAAGACTGCCTGAGGGCCCGACGGGTGCAGAGGCCGAGCGTGTCCCCTGGCGAGGTGTCCCTGTGGCCCGCCGAGGGGCTGCGCTGCGCTGGGCAGGTTCTCCGTCGCTTCACGCAGTAGCTGTGTTAGGCATTATTTCTAAACGTTTAAGCCAGTGCTTGGCGAACAGCAGCCTGCTATATGCTTATGTTTTAAAAAGCGTTTGAAAAGTTGGTTGTTACTCATAGGAAATTGAAGAGGTTTTTTTGTTTGTTTGTTTGTTTTTAGCTCTGTAAGTTCTGTGGGGTAACAACTTTTTTGGAGACTTGGTTTGCTCGGTGATAATATAGGAATAATAACGGCATTGCACTCCCTCTTCTCGGTCCGTGTACTGTGTTAGTGTTGAAGATCTGTGATTTGTCTTGCAGAAAATGTCCCTCGATTTGAAGAATAAGTACTAAAATATCTCAGGTTTGTGTTTTTTAAGTTAAAAATTGCCGAAAATGAAAAAGATTTCAGGGCTTGTGTTGAAATATTGGTCTGGATGTCTAGTTGGCAACCACCCTTGGTCACCGAGTAGCCCGGGAAGTGTCTCCTTGGGGTGGATTTACTACACGTGGGTAGCTCCCACTGACGTGTAAACGTTCCAGGTCGCTTCCCTTTTGAGATAAAATTTATTTTTTTAACTATTTTAAAAGTGTACCACTTGGTGGTTTTCAGTATTGTGCAGCCAGCAGCAGAATATTTTCATCACCTCAAAATGTAAAAAACAGCAGTTCAACGTCCTTTATATAGTTGTGTCCATTCACCTCTCCTCCCAGCTGTTGGCTGGGACACAAACCTTGTGTCCGTGGATTTGCCTATTCTGAGTGTGTCATTTAAGTGGAACCTGCTCCTTGTGGCATTTTGTTTTTTAGCCCTTTTAACTTAGTGTAATGTTTTTCAGTTATAGGTACCAGTAGTACACCATTCCTTTTTTTGGCTGAATAATATTCCAGTGTACAACTAGTTTGTTTTGCTTATTTATCAGTTGGTGGACATTTGAGTTGTTTCCTCTTGACTGTTAGGAATAATGCTGTGAATATTTGTGTACAGGTCTTTTGTGAACATGTTTTCAGTTTTCTGGGGTATATACCTAGAAGTGGAATTGCTGGGTCATAACGTAACTGCTAGTCTGTTTCCAAAGTGATTGTACCATTTTGTATTTCCACAAGAAATGTTATGAAGGATCCATTTTTCTGGGGCTTTTTTGGTTATGTGTTTATGATTTCGTTGTGGTAGGTGTGAAGTGGTGTCCCATAAATTTGCTGTGTTTTCCCAAGACCAGACATGTTGGACATCTGTTCCTGTACTTGGTTTCCATCGGTACATCCGCAGCAAAGTCTGTTCAAGTTCTTTGCCCTTTTGGGGCTCAATTTGGTTTTAAGGCCCCTCATGAATAATTAGGGAGTAGGTTAAGAGATAAAGGAATGGGAATAAAAGGTAGATCTTTTCATACACAAAACAAATGCCTGCTGAGAAGGTGAGGAAGATGGTATGCTAATTAGATCCGAAAGTACTCCACCTAGGATAATTTGGGAGTATGGGTGCAGGAGCTGCTTGGACTGATGGGATTGTCTTTGTTCTTTTCAAGTCTGCAGGTAAAAGTTAGAAGTTGCTTTAGGGTATACTTGTTTTTGTTAAATAAACCCCTGCTCAGGGGAAAAATACGCTCATTGTACATATTAGTATTTTTATGACTTTATTAGAATCAGCATGGATTTTTTTTAAAACCATTATAATAAAAAATTATTTGGAACAGAAACATCTTAGTTTTAGCTTCAAAAGATTTTTTTTGTAAGATGTAAGCTTTTTTTTTTTTGCAAGGCAGACTGCGGATAGCCTAGGGTACTCTTGGACTTTTTAATGTTACAGTTTGGCAAAATGGGGCACCTGAATTAATGATAGAAATGACAAATTTATGATAAAAGATGGAGTTCCTGAGTTTGATTCCCGGTACTGCCCCCCCCAAAGATGGAGTAAAGAAAAACTATTAGTTTTTTGTTGCTGCATTAGGTTATTAAGAAACAGGCTTTAATATTCTGTTGTTTTCTGATATTATAAACTCCACATTTAAAGGGATTTTTTCCTATTCTCTGGGGTTGAACAACTCAGCCTTCATACTGAGCTACACTAACTTTCCTCCCGCCCTTTTATTTAATTTTTGAAGAGGGTTTTACTAAGTTGCTGAACTGTACAGGTTGGTCTTGAATTTGTACCCTGCCTCAGCTTCCCAGAATGCTGGGATTACAAGCCCAGTTTGAAGATTTTTCTACCATTTTGTTTGGGGGTGGGGTACCAGGAATCAAACTCAGGACCTTGGGCTTGCAAAGCAGGCAGCAACGGAACCACTAAGCCAAATCCCCAGCCCCCAGTTTGAAGAGTTTATCTCAAGTCTTTTACTTAATGTCAAGCTGTTTAGTTAGATAACATTTTTTAAGTCATGTTGATAATATCAAGCAAATCAATTTTGGGGGAAGATGGAGAGCATTTATTTGTAATTATGTCAGCATAATTAGGCAAAAACCTTAAGTCTATAAATTTTCTAAGTATCCTTAACTAAATCTTCATAAAATTTTGGCTCTATCTCCAGAAAGTAGGAAGGACTTACAGGTGATGTCTTCAGTTAGTTTTCAAGAGTTGATTGCATTTTGGATCTTTTGTCTGGAGTTTCCTTTCAGGGCAGCCAAGCCCAGACTTTGTAAGCCTGACATAAGTGCCAAACAAGACCTTCTAAAAAGAAGAATTTTTTCTCTTTATCTTTAATTGGGACTTTTTATGTAAGCCATGTGGACAGGACAATCAGTGAGGACCAATTACTAAAAGAAAGTAGAGGACTTATGAACTCAGCCAAGTAGCTGTAGCAGTTGACCACAGTCATTATGGATTTTCTTGTTTTGTTTTTGGTACTTGGGATCCAACTCAGGATCTTATGCTTGCAAGGTGGCACCAATGAGTTAAATCCCTGGCCCTGGATTCTCTTTTAATAGTAAAAAGTTTCTGGGCTGGGGATGTAGCACAGCAGTATAATGCCTGCCTGGTGAGCACGAGGCCCTGAGTTCAATTCCCGATACCAAAAAAGAAAAAAAAAATAGTGAAATGTTTCTAACATTTTATGGTACTAGACTGAATGTTACAAGGAAATCTCTGAACTCCCTTTAAAAAATATTTGTTTTTTTTTTTTTTAATCTCCCAAGTTTTTTGTAAATAAAATGTTCTAAATAAATTAACAAACTAGAAAATTCAGGGTGGATTACCTGTCATTGATTTTAAAAAGTTTGATTATTTAACGTTAAATTTGAAGAAACAACTGAAGTTGCAATTCAATCCTGGAAAATACTGATGAACTTAGTAATTTTTAGTTCTTATTTTGTGAAATGAAAAAAATACATCTTATCATAGCTAATTTACCTTCTATTTTAACACAGTTGCAGAATGATCTAGAAGAGGTAAAGGTGTTGTTGGAAAAGGCCACAAGGAAGAGAGTACGTGATACCCTGACAGCTGAAAAATCCAAGATTGAAACAGAAATAAAGAATAAGGTGCAACAAAAATCACAAAAGAAACCAGAATTTCTTGATAATGAAAAACCAGCTGCTGTGGTTGCTCCAATCACAACAGGATATACTGTGAAAATCAGTAATTACGGTATGACTTGCCCCCACATCTAGTTCTCTGCTGAGCAGAGCACAAACTCCAGGGTTGCTGATATATACTTTTGTTTTGTTTTGTGATTTTTGTTTGTTTGTTTGTTTGTTTTTTGGTACCGGGGATTGAACTTGGGTCCTTGCGCTTGCAAGGCAGGCCACCAAACCACTGAGCTGAATCCCTGGCCCTAATACATATTTTTTATGTGGTTTGTATACTTTTTATGTTGACAGAGTTCACTGAGATTAGACTACAGATTGCCAGTACATACTGAAATGATATTTAAAACAAGTTTCGAAGAATTGGGAGTCTAAGCTTAACCTTGTCCTGGAGAGAAATTGAGGAAGCTAGAATTCCATTTAGACTGCTTAAAGTGGAAATTATAGAATTAGACAGTATTGATTAGCCATCCAGCTTAGTGGAGAATTATTAATTTTTAGGTATAGGTCAAAGTTATTTCCCAGAAACACTAAATGAGCTAATATTTTGTTGTTATTTGTTGTTGTTTTGATGCAGGATCTCACTATATAGTTCAAAGTAGCCTTGAACTTACTGGTGCCCCAGGCTGACTTCAAACTAAAGTGGCAATCTTCCTGCCTCAGCTTCCCAAATGCTAGGAGCATGCCCTTTGAGCTAATCTCAAAGAATGTAATGATCGTGTTTTTATTCTAAGGAATAAAAAGTCTTTGTGTTAAAAATTGGAATTTGAAACTAAGTTCTACCAGTTGTTATATGCATGACTTCAAGTACTTAATTGATATGAGGATCAGTTTCTTCATCTAAAAAGTTTATACAGACTCTGCTTATTTAATGACCCAGTTGAGGCCCTATGTTAAATGAACTGGTTGCTAAATGAAGAATTGTACTGAGTATGTACATTACAAATTCAGAACAAAGGAAACTCCCAACTTGATGACTTTGCTTTTATGTGCGTATCTCTGAAGTGCAGAACTGTAATGTACGGTGGCACCTCAGTTCACAAACTTAATTCTTGCCATAATTTTGCTTCGATTTTGGATGAGGATCAAAGCAAATTTCCCCATGAGGTCAACATTGAGCCTAACCATTGAATTTGATTTGAATCAAATATAGTTTGAAACCAGAACTGTGGAAAGAATTAAGTTGGTGAACCAAGGTACCGCTCTATAACAACATAAAAACTGCAGTATTGTACTGTACAGTACCATCAGCAAAAATTGTAGTACTATACCAGTAAGGTGTACGATATGATAAAAGACATTAAGGCTCTGTAAACAAGATGTATAGAACTGTACCCAAAAAAGGGATAGGTCATATGTCCTAACAGTCATTAAGCAAGGCATATCTGTACTTTTGGTTCCTTTTACTGGGTTTTCATATTTTTATTTTATTATGAGCCACGTACATTTTGGTGTTCTAGACAGTCTGAGAGACTTGTGACTTATCTTGTGCTTTTTGTTGGTAGGATGGGATCAGTCAGATAAGTTTGTGAAAATCTACATTACTTTAACTGGAGTTCATCAAGTTCCTGCTGAGAATGTGCAGGTGCATTTCACAGAGAGGTAAGTTTTCCTTATAATGGGAAAGAATGAGTGAGAGTCAGCCTTATCATAGGACTCTTTTCTGTACAGTTTCTAAAATTCTCAAATTTAGGATTATGCTTTATTTCTGCTTTGAAGGGATGTGGAAATCATCTGGCATAGTCAAATGTACATGGTGGCTTTTTTAAGCAAATCATAAAGATAATGCATTTACCATTGTTTTTAGGTCATTTGATCTTTTGGTAAAGAATCTAAATGGGAAGAGTTATTCTATGATTGTGAACAATCTCTTGAAACCCATCTCAGTGGAAGGCAGTTCAAAAAAAGTGAGTATGATTTATTTGTTTATAGTCACTTTTGATACCTCATTAAATTGAGCCTGGCTGATTTAGAATTGAGATAACTAGATAATTCATTTATCCCCTGTACTAGGGTGCCAACAAACTGCAGCCCATTGCTTGTATGGTAGGTAAGGTGTTACCGGAACATTGCCATTCTTCATGTATTGGTTGTGGCTGCTGTTGTACGGTACCAGCAGAGTTAAGTAGCTACAACAGTACTGTGTGGCCCACAATAGAGAATTATTTACTATCTCTGGCTCTTGACAATAAATATTTGCCAGCTCATGTGGAATAGATTGTTGTAAGGCTATTGCATTAAATATGGGGCATAGAAAGTGCCTAAATTAATCTTAACTGTTATCAGATGTAGTGTGCATTAGGTTTTGATACATAAAAGGGAGTCCTAAGTGCTTAACCCTAATGATAGTAGAAGCTAGAAAAGTATGAAAAGTTTTTTTGTTGTTTTTTTTTTTAAAGAAACATCCATAGTTTTCACTAGTGACACAATTCTTTCCTATTCAGTTTGAATAGATGAGGTTTAGTGCATTGGGTATATAAATATTCTTATCTGTGTTATCTATAAGAGCTTAAAAATAATATTAAAATACAGTTTAGCTTATGTATCACTGCAGCCTTCTACCAATCACACAGATGAAGAAATACTAAGACTCCTAGGAATTACGCTGATCATTGTTAGTGTGTTAGTCTGCTTTCTCGCTCTCCAAATACTTTGCCCTGTGTCATTCTTTCTTTTAATCATTAAAATCATCCTCCCTTTTTCAAGCATACCATGATCATCTCATCTTGGAGCCATTCTACTTGTTCTGCAACTTCCTAGAATGCCCTTCTCTTGGATCTGAGGTTTCCATTTATACTTTGTCTCAGAAGCCTTCCAAATGAAGTTCTCACCCACCACTCCCCCATTAACATCCTTTTTGTCTTGATTACATTTAGCGATATTTTTGTTTTGGGGGGAGGCTTGCACTTACTAGTTTTTGAAGCTATTCATTTTTACTCATTGATGGGCTTTCCCCTGAACAAAGTTTTAGATTCTAGCCTATTCATAAAATTATTACTAGCTGGCAGTGTATCTCAGTGGTGCCACACATGCCTGGCAAGTGCAAGATCCTGAGTTTGATTCCTGGTAACGAGAAAAATAAAAGTATTACTAGCACCTAGAATAAGTCCTACACATAGTAGGCACTTGACTGAGACAATAATGGTTCTCTAAATAATCATGCTTGTATTTTTCCCACTTTTCTTCTAGGTCAAGACTGATACAGTTCTTATCTTATGTAGAAAGAAAGCAGAAAATACGCAGTGGGAGTATTTGACTCAGGTTGAAAAAGAATGCAAAGAAAAAGAGTGAGTCTACATTTCTTTAAGGATTTTAACCATATTCTTGGCTGGGATTATAGTTTGACTTTTGGATAACAGAATGAACTTTAGTTTGATTTGACCATTTATCTCTTGGTGTTCATCAACTTCATTGTCTTAATATCTTTTTCAACTCTCAGAGCCTGCTTGACAAGGCCATGTGCTTAGCAAGTTGATTTTTAAGAAGGCTTTTGTACTTACAGTTAGCTCTTTAGTGCTGGTTCTTATTCCTGGACAGAGAGGCATGTCTGCATATATAGGGCCTGTTGCCAATACTTTGTTTCAGGAGTGCCAAAAAGGCTCAGATATCCATATTATGTTTGTTAATTCCTCAATTTTTTTTTTTTAACTGGTCAGCTTTCCCATTGCTGGGATAAAACACCTGACAACTTCAACTTAACCACTTACCAGTTCGGTTATTTACAAGATGACCAAAAATTGCTTTTGGGGGGGGGTTTTATAAAATAATAGGAAATACAAAAATGATAATTTTATCATATTTAATAATTTTTTTGTGTATAGTGTATCTTAAAACATTTAATACATTATGCAGTCTGGACATTAGGATCTAGTGTTCTTGTGAATTCTATTTCCATAATTGTCTTCCTTTGAACGACACACTTTATACTGTGTGGGTGTAATTTCACTAAAATGTCTACCCACTAAACATAATGGTGAAGACATTGACGATGGACATCTTGGTTGGCATTTCACTAACCTGTATTTTTTAATTATTTGGTCTATTAGAATAATCTAAATTGTAAATGACTTTTTGAACCCCCTTGTTTTGAATCAATAACAAATGAGTTCCCTCCTGTTTGGTCCAGAAGGTGCATAAATACTTTATAATATTTTTCCCCTTGCTTTTGTTTACAGGATGGCTTGTTAGATGTTAGATGTTGCTTAACTCAGCACCACCCATAGAATTGTTATAATTGACTGCTGTTGGGATTTTTTCAGTTTCATTTCTTCTTTCAAGTTCTATCGTTTCTGTATTATGAATTGTTGACAATAAGGAGATGTCTTTTTTGTCTGTTTCATAACACAGACTTTTTTTTCTCTCTGATAACACTAACATTTTTCCTTTTTCAGTTTTTTCTTTTGTGGACTTTTTGGCACTTCCTACTCTGTCCCAAATGTGTCCATTTGCTCTTGTAAATGAATATCATTGCGTTCTGAAGTATAAAAGTTATATCTAATATTTAGTAAGTTTTAATAGATTATAATAGAATTATAGGTTATTTTTCACAAAATATGAAAAAATAACCAGAACTTATCAGAAACATGTCAAAGGCAAATACAACATTCTAAATTTTAAAAACGCAAAAACTCAGTATAAATCGAATGAACAAAATGTATCTTGTACAAACAAGAATAGACTGATTAAAGTGACACCTGCCCGAGCCATGCTTGGGATCGGCAGTACATAACTAAATACACTGCCCAAGTGACACTCAGGGTAAACTGTTGAGTGGTTAAAGGTAGAGGAATTATTTTGGCTCACCGTTTCAGTCCACAGTCAGCTGGCTTCAAGGCCAGACATCATTGCAGGAGGGTGTGGTGGAGCAAAGCGGCTTAGCTCCTGGTGGCCAAAGTAGAACGGGTTGGGAAGAGCCGGAGAAGGAGATGTAGTCTCCAAAGGGACATTGCCAGTGACCTACTTCTTCCACCTGGCCCCCACCTGACAGCACATTCAGCTCCTCAGGGGGTTAATCTACCTTTTGAAAGCTCCATCTCTGAACATATGAGACTTTTGGAGGTACATAATAAAAATTATCATTGGTTTAGAATGAAAAAGCATAATATTTTTATCCTTAGTAGTGACTGTTTAAAGAATATTTGTTGAAAGATACTGCGGCCAGGCATGGTGGTACACACTGTAATTCCAGCACTTGGGAGGCTGGGAAGGGGATTGCCAGGAGTTTGAGGCCAGCCTGGGCTACATAGTGAGTTCAAGACCAGCCTGAACTATACAGTGAGACCCTGTCTCAAAACAAACAAAAAGATACTTCTGTTATCTTGTCAGTTGTTTTAGATTTCTTCTTCAGTGGTAATGTACTGTATCGACTCATACAGCTGTCCGCATTTACTCACTCCTTGCTAGCCAGCATGCATTTGAGGTATGGTTGGGTAGAGTTAGGCTCATCAGACTATCTTGAAATTGATTTTAAATGTAGACAAATGCCTGAGTACAGGGTGATCCTGTCTCCTCATATTTCCAGTGTCCAGTGTAAAGTCTGTCCCTTTATGAACTGAATGAGTAATAATTATGAATTGAACAAATGGGTAATTGGCTCCATCTAAGACTATTCCTTTAACCATCAGGCTCAGATCCATTGATCTCAGGCTTAAGAGAAAGGCTTTTTTTTTTTTTTTTTTTTTTTTGGTCCCGGGTATCAAATTTGGGTCTTTGCAGGCAGCAGAGCCACTCAGCTATATACCCAACCTGAGAAAGGCTTTTCTAGTACATGATGTGTGAGTCTCAGTATGTGTCCCTGTGTAATGTTTGTGGTCTTTCCCTTAATGAAAACATTTTTAATGTGAATGAAACCTTGTTTTAAAAATTAAGTCAGAAAGTAAATACTTCATTTTCCTGCTTTAAAAAAAAAAAAAAAATCACTTGAAATGCCAGAGTCCCATGGTAATGCCTATCATTTTGATGACCACTCTTCCCTGCACTATGTACAAGTGTCATGTGTGTATTAAGGTGAATTTCTCTGTGCTCTACTGACTGAATATTTTCATTGGATAATCTGGCTTCCTCTTAGCTCTGCCTTTCTAGTAACAACCTGAAATTGTGTGGGTCTGTGTATTGACTTTTCCATTATGTGTTTTTAACAGAAAGCCATCCTACGATGCTGAAACAGATCCTAGTGAGGGATTAATGAATGTTCTAAAGAAAATTTATGAAGATGGAGATGATGATATGAAGCGAACCATTAATAAAGCCTGGGTGGAATCAAGAGAGAAGCAAGCCAAAGGAGACACAGAATTTTGAGACTTTTAATTCCTTCTGAGAACTATTATTATATGGGAATACTGATATTTCCAATAAGGGAATGTTAGTGAGCTGCACATAGAAATTTGACAGATAAGTACAAAGCCTTCAAAGCAAAGGCAAAGAATTCTCCATTTCTTATTGGAGGATTTATTTAAATAAGATATGCTTATTAAACATTTCCTCCAAAAATAGTTTCATTACACCCTGGTCATTTTGTTCAAGAAAGGGTTATATGGTATTCTCATTGAAATAGAAAAAGCAAGTCTTGTGTAAAGAAAACAATACATTATATGTATTTTTGTTCAGCTAGGAGATAGAAAAAAGTATTTGCTTGCCTGTAAAAGTTACAGATGTCAGCTCCCACTAATGTAATAAGAGTAAAACTGAATTTTTATATAAAACTCAAATTTGTGCCTGTGCTTCAAATTTGCTGTAGAGTGGATGATCCCCTATTACTAGCTTGCGCATTGCGTATACCAGGGATTACCATGCGCTCTGCACTAATAAGCCAATCACAAATGTTTCTCTAGATTTAAATATATTTGTTTATGAGTATAGAATTAAGAATAGACAAGCATCTTCATATAGTAGCAGTAAGTTCTACCATGAGTCAGATACTAACCATAAAGCAAACATAATTAATTTGAAAATCCATCTATTCTTATGTTCAATAAAGTTGGATTTTTATGTAACAATAGTTTTACTATGTGTTTGTCCAGAAGTATGTCACACAGAAAAGTTACGTTTTCTTAAAATCTGAAGGCAGAGGAAGGTGCCCGTCATCTTCATAATGCATTGTAATGGAGGTAATTGCCAGTACAGCTAAAAGAAAGTAGTTGGATACATGGAGGAAAAATCAAGTTTATCAACCAGAACTGTAATTTGTAAGAATTTGGTAAAACAGCCTGCACCTAGGATAACTTTTAGTAAATACTGAAACACATTATAGTACTTCTCTAATTATGGTTTTGTCACATGAATAAAAAGGCCAGAATAAACAATGCATATGGAAGTTTTAGAGTATGGTAAATGGCTCTTCAAAAACAGTAGAGGAAAGATAGGTTTTAATGAGAATGAGAAAAATAGCCATGTGGAAGCATTCTGTAAGCATCAAAAGATCTAAATGTAAAAAATGAAAGCCTGCAAGTACTAAAAGACATGGAATTTCACTGCAACCAAAGATAAGGGGGAAATCTTGAAATCTTTATTAAATCTTGATAACATTAGCTACATATTTACATGGCAAGAAACAAATGATGACCACATGTGGAGTGATTCCAACAAACAGTTTATAGAAAAAGGTAAATAACCTTTAATACATAAAGAGGTGCTCACCCTGTTTAAGAAAAGAAATACTTAAAAAAACCACACTATTCTCACTGGGAAAACTCCAGTTTCACACACTGATTGTATTGAGTGTTAAGGCTATGGCAAAAAGGCTAGGCTACAGGAAAAGGTCATGTGTAAAGTTATTTGATAGGATCTGTCATAATCACACGTGTCTTTCTCATTGCTGGGACATAACCCAAACAAGGAGGAAAGGTTTATTTCAGCTTGCAGTTTATGGAGGCTTCAGTCCATACTTGGCTGGCTCTAAGGCTCACAGCATGGCAGGCAGGAAGCAGGGATCCAGGGAAGAGGAGGGATACACCCAGGCCAAGTCCCCAGTGACCCACCTCCACCCAGGCTTTATCCAGCATCACACACCCAGCTATAAACCATTGGGACTAATGTAGGGATGAGTATCAGCTGTGATCCAGCTACCTCCCAAAAGCCCCCACCTAATGAGCACATGAGGCTTTGTGGGGGCCTCTAGATCCAAACAAAACAACATGCATTTATCCTCTGGCTCAGAATTTCTAGAATTTGCAAAAGTGACAAATTTGTATGATACATGCCAGGAGTGAGCTGAACATAACGATACATCCATATCTGCTTATGTTTCAGAAAAACTAGAATAGTAAACCCAAAACTAATAAATTATTGCCCAGGCTGGGGATTTAGCTCAGTGGTGCCACCGCCTGCCTCACAAGTGCAAGGTCCTGAGTTTGATCCCTGGTACCAAAAATACCCAGTGGGGAAGAAGGTAGAAGGAGATGAAAGTATATCTGTGAATGTACTTTTTCCTATTCTGACTTTAGAAACATAAAATTTAACGAGTGAAAAAGGTAGAAATAAATTTCAAACAAACCGAACTCACTTGGTCTATTCCTGCTGCTATCACCATACCTTATACTAGATAATTTCTAAATAACAGAAGCATTTCTCAGTGTTGGAGACTGGAAAGTTGCAAGATCAAAGTGCTAATGATACTTGGTTTTTGGTAAGACTTGCTTTCTGCTTCCAACGTACTTTAAAGCTAAAAACGATGGACTCAGAAAACCACTATTGCAACCCTTAATGAAATGACAGATCCAGGGTAACAATCATAATGAGATGCATAGACCATGAGGCAAGAGATGAATTAATGGTGAACTTTAAATGCAAGGGTCAAGCTGACCCTACCTGAACTCACTGATCAATGTAAGCATTAGAAGTGGGAAAGCCGGATAATATGCCTTCTTACATGATACAGTAGTACCTAACACCACCAATGGAAAACAGCTGGATGTAGTCCAGCTTCTAGATGTGACTATTCATTTACAGAAAACTTGGGAGACAATAAAGGATATGAAGAAGCAAATGGCCAAAAACGCTGGACATTCTACAGGACAACTATTTGGTTTCTCCAACAAATGAAAGGAAGGTGGGGGGCCGGGGATTTAGCTTAGTGGTTCTGCTGCCTGCCACAAAAGGGCAAGGTCCTGAGTTTGATCCCTGGTACAAAAAAAAAAAAAAAGTGGGTGAGAAAAGCGCTTATGAAGCAGAAATGACTGCGGAGAAATGGCAGCTGAATGAAATGTGCAGATTATGCTTGGGATCAAATGACTCAAGTTGGAGAGGGGATGGGATATTCTACCAACATGCTAGCAATCAGCAAATTTATTCTATTTCATGATTTAATACTAGTTATAATTTGAGATATTAAGAGGATACCAGTTGGCGAATTGCCATATGAACTTAGGAAAAACAAATCCAAGGTATATCATAATTCCCCATCTCCTCTTGAATTCCAGACTATTTAGTTGCATAGATTTCTCCACTAGGCATCCCACCAACATTGCTCAAATGAAATTTCAACTCCCATCTTGTTTCTCCCGAATCTATTCTATTTTTGTGTATTTTTTATCTTGGAGTTGCCCTCTGCCATCTACCTTAGCAAGAACCCAGGAAGCCAGTACTACCTCTCAAATTGTTGGTCTTTTAAAGTCTTTAATTTTCTAAAAACTACTTTTAGCTAGGTGTGATAGTGCACTCCTAGTAATCCCAGCACTCACGAGGCTGAGGCAGGAGGATAACCATGAGCTTTGAAGCCAGTCTGGGCTACATAATAAATTGAAGGCTAGCCTGAACTACAGAGACCCTGTCTCAAAAACAGTCTTGTGCGAACAGTCTATCCTCTTCATTGCTACCATTCCCCGCCTTAGTTCAGGCTCTGGATTTGCAATTCAGGCATCCTAAAATGTCTTGTTTGCAGTCTCTGCCTTTCATCACCACCTATCCACACAGCTATCGATGATCTATAGAAAAAAAACTGATGTCTTTTATTATTTGAAGGGAGGGGAGTTTGAGACAGGATCTTACTCTGGGTGCAGTTCAGGCTGACTTGAACTGTGTATCCCAGGCTGGCCTTGAGGGGCTCCCTCCTGCCTCCGCCATCCGAGTGTTGGTTTTACAGGTGTGGGCCACCGTGCCTGGCTCAATGTCATTTAAAACTCACCAATATCTGGTACTGCATATGTGAAATGCTCTAAATATGGCTCTTGTCTTACGCTTCATATTTCTGATACTCTGAAGTGACTGTGGTTTCACCGTGTGACCCATTCATTTCTCTTTTTCCTTATGCTTTGCTCCTACTTCAATGACAAGATCAGGTGTCATCTCTGGGAATATTTTCCTGATCCTAAGTACATTCTTCCATAATACTATGTATATTTTTCATCACTGGACTAATCATACTGCTGAGTTATTGCACAGGTCAACCTTTACTACCCTTACTTGTTACAGCATGTAATGAAACAGAAGTGTAAGTGATATATACTATTCCAAGACATTTTTTTCCTCTTTGTATAGATTATTAGAGACTTAGAGGCATATTTTGTACTAGAGGCCTTTAGATGGATCAGCAGTCAGTGGGGTTTTGTTGTTGTTATTCAGCTTTAACTTCCAATCTGTTTTTCTCTAACAGTAAGAGTAAGAAAACTCTGTAGGTCAGGGAAGCCAGGCCAGGATTACAAAATGCCATAGATGAATGACCTGTCAGTTAACTGGGTTATTTGTAAGAAAATACTGTTTCATGAAGTAACATTCTTTTAAAAATACAAAAACCCTTAAAGGAAAAGGAAATCATAGCATATTTTAACAGAACATATTTTTTATTCTATATTTTGCTCCATTAAATCAAAAAGGTAATTCAGGGCCGGGAATTTAGCTCAGTAGTTCTGCCACTTGCCTTGCAAGCACAAGGTCCCAAGTTCAATCCCTGGTACCAAAAAAAGGGTAATTCATTGACAATGAAATACCCAAATGTCTTCATTTAAAATGCAAAAGTACTTTAATTATAGACAGCATCAGGTAGACAAATACACTGGATCCCTATAAAAATTAGGGTTTTGTTTATTGAAATCTCCCTTTTATGGAAATCTCAGTGGGTTTTGGAGCTGATTTACCATATTGCTCTCTGGACTCCAGAAAGCTGGCCATGGTCCGCTAAGTGACGGAAGACAATACGACTAAGCCTCCAGCGCCGCTTCACACCACGTGGACGGGATGTCATAACGCAACGATTTCTGATTCTAACAGGACAGCTATCCCGAGGAAGGGCAGCAATTTCTCCATCAGCCACTTCCTACGGGAAATCACAAAGGTACATTATCCACGGCCCAGGCTGTACCTATGGCTTTTTTTAGTCACTAATGCTCTGGCTGACACTTAACATCATCACTAACACCTCACAGAGTCTCCCGATGCCTTGAGATGAAGGACAGGCACGAAATGCAGGGGAAACTGTGGGTCAAAATAATACCCCATTTACTATATGGTTATTACTCATCAGTACTTTCTCGGGATTGGATAATGAAATGGTTACTTAGGAGTGAATAGTCATCTTCAGTCTGAAATTTATGTAAGTTGATTTAAAGGCTATTGTATATGTTGACTTGGAGTATTTGATCTTATTCTTCAGAAATGATATTGGTACTACTTCACAACAAATGGTATCAGAAAATGATCTGATGTGAGTTAAAGATTTATAGAAAGGAACTCATTAGCTAACCTGAAGATCTTGTGGCAAAATGGTATTCTTCCTGAGCGAATTGATTCGCAGCCTCTCATCTGCATATTCATAGGCCATTTTTCGTCTCTTCACATCACGCAACATTTTCCAGTCTACATAGTAACCTCTAACTTGGCCTGAAGCTGAGGATGGAACTACCTAAAAGACAAAAGCAAGCAAAGTGTGAATGAAGGATAAGGACAGTCAAGCCTAGGTTCTGTGAGTGTTCCTCAGTCCTGAAGTCTTCCAGTCACTGTGACCTAGTATTTCTTTCACAGTTGTTCTGGTTTACTTTAGTGACTCAAAATAACACTTACTATTTCAGAACAACTTTTATGAACATACATTAAGTCAGAGTGGTAATAATTAAAATGAGGCCAATAACGTGTTGGAAGATGGCAAAGTTTTAGAAATTTCTGTAACTGTTTGACTTTTACAGAGGCTAATATCAAAAAAGCAAAAACATATAGTGAAGTCTCCCTCTCATCTCATTCCTTCCTTGCCCAACGATACCAACCTGCCGTAAATATCCAGTTACTAGTTTCTTATATATCCTTCTAGAGATTTTTGTCTCAACAAATACATGTATACTTTACTCCTCCCGTTTCAGCCCCCTTTTTACTTAACAAAATATCTGAGATCTTTTCATATGCATATGTAAAAAACTTCCTCATTCTCTTTGAATTGAATATTTCACTGGATAGATGCATCCTAATTTACTGAACCTGTAACCTATGGGTGGACAGTCAGACTATATAACATACCTCCCCGCTTATCATCATGAACAACACTACAATGAATAACACACAACTCATCTCAGGTTTTATCTCCAGGATAAATTATGGAAAGCAGAATTTCATGGTCAAAGAGCTCTTAGAAATTATCTCTGATAATTAACACTAATTATTAACACGAGCTGCTCACTAACAATTTATAGTTCTAGCCTACAGAACAGGCAAAATGGGTACTTACTTCTAGAAACTTGTCTCTTTCAAACCAGAGGAAATATTACATGTCAACTACATTATAATTATAGAAAATAACGATGTTTTCCTATACGTGTTTATAAAATAAATCATAAACACACAGCAAAATATAAAACTGAGAATAAGGGAGCCAACCTTTTTTCAAGTCTATTTAACAAGAGAAACTAAGCCCCTTCTACACTTTTATTACTAAAGACCCATGTGAAAAAGACAATAATTCCAGAATAACCTTCTGTAAATAAGCATGAATGAAATTTAAATATCAATTTGGCAATTTTGTCCCTATTCGTCGTCTCCAATTTCTTTCCTCCTATTCTCTTTGAACCACTTCTGCCCCATCAGACCATCGAAACTGCTATATTCAGGTCCCCAACAATCTCCACACTGCTAAACTCGGCAGCCAATACTCAGTCCTTCGTCTAGCCGACCTTTCCGCAGTCAGCTGCGCACTCCCTACTCCCTGAAATCTTCATGGCTTCCTTACACACATTCCCCTGGGTTTTCGTCCTCCCAGCCTGACGGATTTCAGTCACTTTGCGGCTGAAGTGTCTAAGGCCTATTTTCTGACCTTTTCTCTTCCTTACCTACACTCAGTCCCTTACACGTATATCAGAGTCAATCTGGTAGCTCTCAAAGCGAGTCTGTTACATGCTTAACACCAAATTTCTATCTGCAGCTTGGACCTGCCCGAACCAAGCTGGAGAGGAGAGGAGGCCCAGGGATTGGTCCGCAATCTGCACTACAGGTGGCAGGGTCGTGGAGGACCCGCAGCTACGAAATTCAGAGGTGAGGGGTATGAGGGGCGGTAAAGGCGCGTCTGACCTGCCGGATAGGCCGCAGCACGGAGCACAGCACGGAGGCCGCCATGTTGTCCACCGCAACAACAAATCGCTGCAACTTTATTGATATCACCGGACTACGCAGGGCGCGAGGGGCGGGGTCTGGCGTAGGGGGCGGGGCGCGCTGCGGGCGGCGTTTAAAGGCCTAGGTATGGGATTTGAGCTCTCGCGGTGTTTCACGAATTTAGGCCAATCACAAAGGCGGAACGAGTTTGGTGTGCCTAGCGCGGTGTTATGCTATTGGTTGGTTCTTGCTCCTCTTTCCGTTCATTTTTCTCACCGCTTTAAACTACGTCTTCACCTACTTCCTTTCCTTCCGTCCCTGTCAATTTCTCTTCCCCGGAGCTCTTCTCGACCCCATCCAGCCTGCTCCTCATATTCTCCACTCAGTGTCTAGCACTGCTTTCCAGAAACCTAGGAATTGTTCCAGCTCTTCCTGTCGTCCTTCCTGTAGATCCTTCAGTCCCTTCTTTTTCTCCACCATAATGGTGGTGTGATGAAGATAGTTCTCATACATGTCTAGAGTATTTAAAATTCATTATATCTGTATTGCGGTTTCAGTGCTTAAATGTTTTATTTGGGGGCAAGTGGGGTTGCATCGCCCTTTCAAACTTGTTTTCAGTACGGTACAGGGAACTTCAGGTCCTCTTCATAGTGGCTGGGTTGTTTGTTTTTTGCGGGGAGCCTTTACTCTGGACATAAGTCAAGTATCACCCCTTACGGTATTGTTAGAACAGTATGGAGGAGCATATATGAGCTTGACAAGTACCTATATCATAGATGAGTAAGTGGAGGCCTGTGTTACTTACATATGCATTGTTAACGGGAGCCTTCTGGGAGAAAGGAGAATGGAATGCAAACTCCTTTTTTTTTTTTTGGTTCGAGGAATCGAACTCGGGTCCTCATGCTGTCGAGGCAGGCCGCGGAACCACTGAGCTAAATCCTCCGCCCAGGAGTTGTTTAGTTGTTGTTGTTGTTGAAACTCCTTTCTTTGGAGGTTCAGGTGTATTAGAACATGCCTAATGCAGTGGAGAGGGTCTGAGTGACCAGTTGGTGTGAAAAGACAACATGAGCCCTCGCTACGTTAGAATCAGAAAAGTCTTAGGTCAGCAGCTGTCTAAAGCCCAGGGAACACTTTGTCCCTCTCTTCCAATTGAGGATTATTTCCACTAATTAGCTCATGAAATGGGTGCACTGAACTCCCCCCCCCCAGCATGTTTTCTTTCTAGTAGGTGATTTTTCAAATTCTACATTACTGGGAAGAAGGTCAAGAACCCACTTCTGCAATCCTATAGGAAGAACAATCAGGAGGATTACATACAACTGTGCTAGGCACAAGACAGGCCAGATCTTGAGAAGTGGCCAGAAGGCCAGATTGAAGCCACAGGAGCCATGGAACTTGTGTTTGTTACATTGACAGTGGTAGTTTAATGATGGATGAAGAAGTAGGCGTGGATGTAGTGCTCAGGTGTGGTAGGGTGAGGAGTGTCCATACCTTGGGAGTCACTAGTGCAGCCTGGCTGGCTTATTATAAAGGATATTACAGAGGATACAGACAGACACCTAATTGGAAGAGGTGCGTGGGGCAAGGTATGGGGCAGGGATGGCAAACCTTTTAGAGTTTTCAATGATACAAGCAGCCCTCTGTGCACTGGTACAGGGGAAAACATGGCGCTTTCAGGCCCTTTCCTCCTTCCGGGAACCCCACTTTCACCTATCCAGGAATTCCCAAAAGCATCTTTAAATAGCATTAGTGACATTTGAAAAATTGTGGTACAATGCACAATGATCTTGCCCATTTTGTGCAGCTATAACAATACCTAAGACTGAATCATTTATAAAGAACATACTTATTTCTTGTAGTTTGGGATGCCGGGCAGTGCAACATCAAGGGGCCTGCCTCTGGAGAGGACCTTCTTCCTGTGTCATCCCAGAAGGGCAAGATCATACAACTGAGCAAGAAGGCCAAGCTCACTTTTTAAGAATATCTTTAAGTCTGTCTTAATATCTTTTTTAAAAAGAGCAAATGGGTTTTCATCAGTAAATGTCTGTGATACGTAAGGAATCTATTCATCATGGAGTATTGGTGCATATACGAAACGTATTGCAGTGGATCCTTTTACTTTCCCTTCTCCTCCACTCCCTCCTGTCCCCCGCCCATCCCAAGATCCCCTTCCCTCTTCACAGAGTCTGTCTCCCTGTTTCCCGTCATGGTTTATAACACGCCCACTCTCCAGACGAGGAACCTGCTCCCGCAATGCAACAAGAACCCACTAGCACTGATCTAATCACTGTTTCCCGTCACCTCCCAGCACAGTTACATTGGGGATTCAACTGCCAGCGTGTAAACTTTGGGGGACACATTCAAAGAAAGCATATCACTTACGATTTACCATCCCATTGGTTTTAAGTGCTCAGTTCAGGGACGTTAACTACAGTTCACGTTGTTAACGCAACCTTTATCATCCATCTCCGGAACTTTATCTTCCAAAACTGAAGCTCTGTAACATTAAACAATTTCTCATCCCTCTCTCCCCCAGCCCCTGGCAACAAGTTCATAGGTAGGTAAAGGAGCTAGATTGATAGGTCAGAAAGAGACCCAAATATAATCAGAATCTGACCATATATTAAAGCATAGAAGTCACTGAATATGTGGTACTGGAGTAACTGGGTCTGATTTGGGAATTTTCTCTAAATTATAGTTTATTTCTTACCATGCATCAAAATAAAATTTAAAAACCTAAATATGGTTGTGTTTTTTAAACATCTAAATCCCAGTAGGCAATTCTCAGAACATCTAATAAAATGAACAGTGTTCAGCTTCACTAGTTTCCAAGAAAATGCAAATTGAAACAATGAGATAGATTGAAACTAACAAATTAGTTAAGGCTTAAAAAAATTCAGGGTTGTGATACATGCAAGGCAATGAGTAGTTTCATATCCTACTGGTAGGACTATAAATGGGTAATGCCATATTAGAGTTGTGTGACAAGTTTTCTTCAAAGTTGATACCTCCGGACCCAGTTAAACCACTTTGAGGAATCTTTTCCAAGGAAATACTGAGAAACTATAACATTTTTATTTAAGGAGATTTGCCAGGGGATTATTGATAACAAGAGCAAATAAAAGTCCAACAGTACAGGGGAAATTAAATAAATTAAAAAATAAAAATTACAATTCTAAAATTTAAAAATCTGATGCCACAATGAATATACTCATTACTGCAAACACATACTATAAAATAAAAAATTTTTAAAAATCTGATGGGTTTCAAATTTTAAAATAATTATAGATTCAGATATAGATATAGAGTAGAACAAAAGATTAGAAGGGTTTTTAGATGCAAAATTTCCAGTTTTCTTATGATTTTTACATTTTATTCTCCATCTCATCTTTATGGGTTATATAGACTCTTGGGCTTCATTTTGGCAGATCTGTACATACACATAACAGACTTTGATCACTGTCACCCCTCTTCGCCCTCCTGCCCACCCACATCCTGTTTTCCCATTTTTTGCATGTGTATATTTTGTCCACATCTATTCCTTCATTGTCTGCCTTGACACACCCCCCTCCCTCTTACTCCCTTCCTCTTGTCTAATAACAGTCTCTCTTCTACTTGTCTTCTTTTTAAAGATTCTGCATATTAGAGAGAACATGCAGCATTTGTCTTTCTGAGGCTGGCTTATTTCCACATCATGGTCTCCAGCTCTGTCTGCAGTAACAGAATTTACTTCTTCTGATGGCCGAATAATTCTCCCTTTGTATACACCACCTTTTCTTACCCATTCATGTGTTGATGGGCACCTAGGCTGATTCCATATCTTGACTATTGTGTATTGTGCCACAGGTATGCAGGTGTCCCTATAGTATACTGACGTAATTCCTTTAGGTACCTAGCAAGGGGTGGTATAGCTGGATTAAATGCTAGCTCTATTTTTATGAGGAAGCGCTACACCAATTTCCACAGTGTCTGTACTCTTTATATCCCACCAGCAGTGAGTTCCCTCCGTCCTCACCAGCATTTATTTTTATTTATTTAGTATTCTTGATGATAGGCATTTTGACTAGGTTAAGACTGAATCGCAGTATAGTTTTGATTGTCATTTCCCTAAAGGCTAGATGTTGAACATTTTCACATATGAATTGACCATTTGTACTTCTGCTCATTTGCCCATGTATTGACTGGACTATTTGATTTTTTTGGTGTTGTTTTTTAGTTCTTTATATATTCTAGATATTAATACTCTGTCAGAAGAGTAGCTAGCAAATATTTTCTCCCATTCCTTAGACTGTCTTTTTACTCTGTTGATAGTTTCCCTTTCTGTGCGAAAATTTTAATTCAATGTAGTCCCATTTGTTGATTCTTATTCCTATTTCCTGTGCTGCTGAAGTCCTGTTCAGGAAGTCATTGCCTTTGCCTCTGGCTTCAAGTGTTTTCCCTGTATCTTCTTTTAGCGGTTTCAAAGTTCCAGGTCATATACTTTAGTCTTTAATCCATTTGAATTGGTTTTTGTACAAGGTGAGAGACAAGGATCTATTTTGTCTTCCACAAGTGGATGTCCAGTGTTCCCAGCTGTGAAAGAGGCTGTTTTCTGTTTTGTTTTGTTTTTCAGATGGCTGTAACTGTGGGGGTTGTTCCTGCATCCTCTGTTCTGTTCCAAACGTCCACATGTCTATTTTGGGGCTAGTATCATGCTGTCTTTGTTACTGCAGCTCTGTAGTATAATTTGAAATTATTTTAATGCCTCCATTGTACATGTATCAATTTTAGAGTCCCATATGTTGAATTTAACTTAAATTCTTAACCAGTTCTTGTCATTTTATGCCTCTGTTATCTCACCCCAAATATTTTAAAAGGGTGTTTGTCAGTAGTGAAGGAAATTCCTGGTCCCCATCAGTACCTCTTATCCCAAGGGATGGGGCAATCAGAACCGAGGCCAAAGAAGCAAGAGATGTAAAATTTGAGGGCATTTGCTGCCTTCGTATTTATTCGCACTGTCCTTATCTTCACTTCTTGTGTTCCAGTGTCTACCGTAAAATGAATTGCTGTCCCTCTGGTGTGTAATCTCTACCTAATACAGGATTG